CACGGCTTTTGAGGTTCACTGAATTTCTCATGGAATTGAAATATTCATACGAGGAAGAAAGATACCAAAACTGAGGACAGTCCACATATGTTATATACGGGCTCTAGATCTATATCTACAGACAGGTAGGTCCGTATATTTATATTTATAAACACATATGAACTATAGAGGTGTATTTATTGTGTATGGATGAATAGTCAGAGCATGCAGATGTCAAGACCGAGATGGAGATAAACCATAACCACAGGTGTACAGTGGATAGTGGCTAAGCTTGGGCATCCACTACCGACACATCCACCGAGCAGTCCTCGCCCTGCACTCTTGTATCCGTGAGCAGGATGGAGATATGTAAATATGATAAGCAAAAAGGAATATATAGTAATTCATAGCACACACGTCATATTCACGTACACTCACTGGATTTGCATGTTATTTCAAAGTTTGAGTTTCGAGGATCCCGAGACTTTGGAATTCATATACTCACACATGCTTTGGCAAGTATGTGAATGTGGATCTGGATGTGAGACAAAAACGGGAATGAGGATGTAGATAGGACCAAGTGGAGATGGAAGAACAATTTTCATAGAGATCTGGGGATATGAAAACGGAGAACAGAGAGTAAGGGGTCATGCTTTGTCGCTTTCTGCGCCCTCTCGCCCCCTTTAAACATTATATGGATGTAACTCTATGTGTGTGATATCCCACTCTCATATGTGATGGCACGTGTATTATGCATGAGGTGCATATAATGTTTGAGGACGATATGCAGCTGGTTTCTCTGTCGGCAACGTTCGTTTGGTTGTCGTGTGCCAGAATAACAGTGTCTTAGTGTTACATACAAATTCACACATGCATCTATACTTTGGAATTCACGAAGGACAGATTGCTACGCTGTGCTAACTGTGGTTATGCATATACCCCAGTAGATTTCCATATTGCATGCTTACGCTATTGGAAATGAACTGGATCTCGCGGAAACTCATCATTTCAGTGAGCTTCGAGCTACAAGCTTTACGAAGGTATCTCTATCTGCAGCTAGACCAAGAACTGGAATTAACGTGCAAATATTTATCTGAAAATTGTTTTTCTTGGACGATCTCAATTCATTCTATTGGTTTTAGAAACAACCCGGTAGGAAATTGGTGGAGTGTAAAACATCGGGTCGAGTGCTGCTAATTGAGTAATTGCTCCGAGTGTCGACATTCTGGCGAGTGTGTTGTCTGTTGTAGGTAGTACGCTGGATGGCAGGTACATGGACAGTATTTCCATCGATTGTCAATTGATGGAATTAATGGATTGTTGACACTAGTCAGTTATAGTTTGTCACACCAGTCATTCATTTGTTCCTCCGTTCATTCACTCATTCGTTCATTCATTATGGATCTGTGACACTGGGTATAATTCAACTTGCTCTGCTTCGGGATTTATTAACTGTTTGTTTCAACAGTTTCAGTCTCATTTGATTAATGATTGAGGGTCCTTTGCTCTTTTGCATCATTTTATTGCTTTGGATTTTGTTCGTAAATATAAGAGGTTCAAATTTTACTGAAAGTAAATTTATGAGTTGTAAAATATTATTTTCTATCGGCAAATTTTGGACAGTAATGATCACAATAATGAATAATGACAAAGAGATGAGGAAAAACATTTATAAAACAGTTGGTATAATGACACCTAGCGGATTTTAATGGCGCGGTAAACCTCAAGAATACTTAAACAGAAACAGCAGACAACGGTGGGTAACAACTCGTTAAATCACTTCGAGAAGAATGTTATTATCAGTGGAATAAAAATAAATAGTATGTTCTATCTTTTTTCTCCAACAAAAACATTTAAAATTCATTCCAAGGTTTCATTGCGTCTTTTGTCTCTCATCAGGAAAATTGCAGCACACGTACTCGCTCACCACACAACAAACTAATAATGACAATGATGTAAATACTTGATACTTATAGAAATTTAGCTGTCATTGTCTTGAATCTGTTTGAATCCTTATGAATGCTAATGACAGTTGATTACATTTAGAAACAATGCTCGGTTTGTACATCCAGAAATTTATTATGGATTCACAGTTAATGAGAGAACGTACCGTAAATGCAGCAAACCGATATAATGTCAGATGAGATAATAATACTTAGCTAGCTCCTTTGTATATGTATAAATGTATATATGTACATTCCCAGAGTTGAGTTGAGTCCCGAGTATATTAAATATGAGAACGGATGATAGTCTCTCATTTAGTTTATTGGAATAAAGCGAAGCTGGATAGGAGCCTCGAGCTCTCGAGCAGCAGATGGAGTTGAGGCGAGACTTTGATTAACGGATTAATAATGACTCGTCCATGGGTAGCTTCATTTATTTTTATCTTTCAGATGAACGATCGCTGAGAAACTATTTGTCGGGTCGCTTTAAAGGGAAAGGGGATAAATCCTCTAAAAAATTTAAATCCATCTCGATAAATAAATAATTATACCGTAGAAATCCCGAATTGTTAATCGACTACAGACGGCTGAAACTTAATCGTTATTGATATGTCTCATTAATATTTTATATTCTCGCTTCAGACGAACAGTGCCATTAATCGATTGTCTTTTTTATAGAAGCAACTGAATCGAGAATATCTTTCCGTCCCGACACAATATTTCGACTCTCATCAGAGGAGTTTTTTTCAATTGAAAATTATTATTTGATGTAAGATCATAAAACTCTTGAAAATTAGTTTTTTGATTCGAGATTTTTTCTCCTGATTCAAATTAATATTTTTATTTCATCGTGTGGATAATAAAATAAATAAAAGGTCTGTTTATTGTGTACTGAATGAGCTAATGCAACGGGATATTAAACAACCGTCTTAAATATACTGCGCAATATCAACACAAACACAAATTTATAGTTATAATAACAAAAACAATGATGATAACAATATTAGCGGATAAGTTCTGGTACGGTTTTGTTTGTTCCTTTTCCCTTCTCCATTCTATTAGACGAAACTTTGTTCAATAGAGCAAGCGAGAATAGACAGGACATAAACACTGGGACAAAGGGGAGGTTAAATCTCCTCGTAATTTTAATTAAACAAACCCTTGTTCGTTGTTCTCTATATCACGCCGGTTTTGATGTGTGAAAACACCTGCTGAACAATAAACCTCCGTTCCTTTCCTTTTCACACCCATTTATTTATCGCTTTATCAATTCAATCGCGGTGTTTATAATAATAATAGCGCTCACTAGGTTACAGCCACTAGAGACTAATCGAAAACGCTTATTCATTCCGAGAAATTCGTTAAATGCACCGTTTGAATTATAAATATAAATAATAAATTATTAAATTATTAGACGCTTTGAAATGTCAAGTGACGAGGATTGAACCCGCTTGCGGTCAATTAACATTTTTTCACATCAGACATTGACATAATAAATTCTATTGGATTTTCATTTAAATCCCCTCCTTACATAATATCAGAATACCTGAGTAACGAGACTTTAATTTGACATCCATTGTAATTTATAAAAGGTCCCGGAGATTTTCTTGCAAGAAAAAAATTCATTTGAGTGGATGGAAATTTCGGTTTAAATTCAACTCTATCGGTAAGTATCATTCTGAATACTTCAGAATAATAAGGGCACATTTTTTCGAACTCGATGAGTTATACTCGGGACCTCGGGTATTTTATCCATTCGACGTAAAGGGTGTATAGTATAGCTTGAATAAAAAAAGAGACACCTGCCTGTATTCTTTCTGCTTTTGGAACGAGGTATAAGAAATAAGAAAAGTTTGAGGTTAATTTTTAAGCTTCCGGGTATATATAGTGTATAGCTGGATGCCCAAGCACTCTCTATATATATTATGTATAGAGTTATGCTTTATTGGGTGTGCAGTACGAGTTTAAAAAACACGGAGCAATTTATTCAACGAATTAAGTAACCGGTGGAAATTTTTAAAGCGCAGGTGTTGCTGTTTTTTCAGATATATGTACAATGTAATTGCCAAAATTTTTCCACTCGCAATTAACAACTCTGTTTGGTTTATTTGTTGAGCAAAAAATACGAGAAGTCGAGAGCAAATCTGTTACAGTTAAACGGCGAAAAACGATCGCTGAAAGTGGTTAGACGGGGTTTTATGCTCGTTATTATATATATCGTGTCTAGTCTATAGTCGTACAAGTGTTTTTGTTAACTTTTATTCAACCTTGGCTCTGATCCGGATATTTACGATTCATCCTCGATCGTTTCCACTTATAATTCCAATGTAAAATATATAATCGGCTTGACATTATACTCTACTATCTTATTACTATTAATTACGGCCCTAACATTCATTTTTATTATTGAAAAATTTTAAATTTCGATTAATAAGCAAGAATTAAAAAATTATTTTTTTTTTCAAAAACCATGGCAGGTTTTTGAAAGTAATTCATTTTATTTTTTAAAAACAATTTATTGTTGTCTATTTCGTTTAGATTTTTAAAAATTTCTTTCATTTGGATTCTCTCACATGACAGTCTCGACGTAGATAATAATGTGAAAGTTCAAAAATTCGAGTATATATACTGTCAGTTGATTAATTCCAATTTTCGTCGACGAATTGATGTAAGTACTAGATTTTTGATAACTTATTGCTTATTATACACCTATATTAAATTGTTCCTGCTTAACAATCATCAATTTATTTTTTATTTTTCTAACGGATAAACTTCATCGAAAGTTACAATGAAAACTGCTGATCATTTGATATTTCTGTGTGTTCTTTTTGGAGCCTCTTTATCAGGAGGATTTTCGTCACCATCAGACACAGAAACTGAACTCGACAACAACTTAGAAGTCGTCACAGATATAAATGGTGAATAAATCTTTTTTATTATCAATTTTGATTTAGTTTTAGATACTTGAATTTTGAAAATGAATACACACAAAACTCAATCAAATATTGACGATAACAATATTATCTAAATTATTTATTACAATTTTTTTATGGTGTTTGAACAGCAATTAAAAAAATAATAGAGACATCGATGGACGTTTCCAACATGTGTGATGTCTTAGGGATTTGCTACGATGTAAAGTTCGTATCTACACTTGCTAAAAAAAAGCACGACAATATAACAAAGATTGAATTGAATTTAAAGGCAGCGGCAATATCTCATAATGTATTAATTATAGTAAAGGATAAAGGATTTATTTATTAACTTTTATAATAATTTTATTAACTTTGATTCTAAGTGTTCGGGGTTCTATTACAACAACAAATGCTACAGCTTCCCAGGCGGTACTTGTCGAGTTTCAGAGGACTGCTTATCAACATCGTACTCATGCCAATCAGGGACTTGTAAAAGCACAGTCTATATTAAAAACGAAGAAAGTTTATCATCAAAACCCGGAGTTACTGCCAAGTTTATTCAAGACAGAAACGCAACGAAAAAAGATCAGGGATTTCTGTCTGGAAATGACTGGGGCGCACCATTGTACGTTTGTCGGGCTTCACTTCTTGACTACGTATAGTGCCGGGAAAACTTATTGCCCATAAAAAATGGAATGATTGCCATATTCCAGTAGAAGAATCTGAGGTTACTCGATTATCCTACGAGGTACGTAAAGATAAACACTGACCTATTAATCAAAATTCTAATAATTTTGTACTACAGCTACTGATAGAATCTAACTTGGAATGGACAAGCTCTGTCTACCACCCTGACAAAGCCATTTACGGAGGCCATCAAGAAAACGGGTTACTCTACCTGATTTGCCGAGCTAATCACACCAGTCTATCAATTGGGGTTGGATGAAGGTCTATACTATGACCCACTTTGACGTTTTAGTTAAGAATTGATTGTTACTTGCATGTTGATAATTTAAATGTATTGTTAATAAATAATAAAAAAATAATTCAGAGAACTAACAACGAATTTATATTTGTAAAAATGATGCAATAAATAACTTTTGAAATTAAAATATTCATTGAATAAATAATAAAATAGATTTATAATCTGGAGTATCATAAACAGAGTATTTATAATAAAATAAAATTTCCCATGAGGGTAAAATTAAAAATAGTTGAAAACGATTACAGCGTCGCAGTAGATTGCCAAGTGAAATGGTTCATGACAAAACTCACCAACAGACAACCAGCGCAACACTATTATATGCCAACACACGTATAATAGCTACAGTAGGAGCAATATAACACACCAACGTATGGACTATGGGTATCCCTTGCTCGTTCTCTCTTTTCCTCTCTCGCTCTTTCTCTTTCTCTTCTATTCCCAGTGTTATTGCATTATTATTGCACCAGAGGGTTCCCTCGCGGGCCAACAAACCACGAGATTATGGCGGTGATTGCGTGCCGCGCCCACGATTATCCCCCTTTCCACGCTCTATCGGGTTTGTACTCAAGCGAGTCGCCTCATACTCGCTCGCGATACGCCTGCTGATATATCCAGCATAACACACCACGATATGTATACAGCCTCACTTCCAAAAACAATACAATGTAATTTCATTTTTGTCTCTTCCTGCTATACCATTCATTTTTTACATCATTCTCGTTTCCATTACATCCATTTCCATATTTTCATTTTCATTTTCGTTCTTCTGCAGCTGTCCAGTCATATCAATGTTTCAAGCCTTGTACTCTATATATTCATCCCTTGAATCCCTTGATCCGAAATAAAAATTATATTTCGTTTCAAGTATTTTAAAATTCGTAAAAGCTCTATTTTATATTTAAATTATATTCAGAATAATTATTTTAGTTTGCAGAGTAAAGAAAAGTATAAATGAATATATAGACTTACTTTTTTTTATTGAAGGGTGTTAAGTCTGGGTTTTTGTTTCTCCTCTAATTCCCCCGTGTCAATTTGCTATTTATTCGTCGAGTTAACGGTAGTAGAGTAGATGAGACTCACCCCGAGCTCCGACTCCTTCAGATCCGGATCGAATCGCGAGGGTCGAGGGCGGCTGGTATTACTTGTACCTTTGTAGTTGGCACTTTGTTTCTCCTCACCTCGAATTTCTCCCAGTTCTTACTGAAAGTCTTATATTGCGTTAAACTGAACTCTCTGGTACTTGGATGAGATTTACAAGCTCATTTGCCGGAACGGGGAGAATTTAAAACCCTCTGGGCTCCACATCGTGAACGTGCGAGTCTGGAAATAACACAATAAGCCATTAGTTGAATTACAAATTCCTTTCAAATCGACAAATGTATAACTCTTAATAAAACCATTTAATCATGAGATTTTCAATTTTCTAAATTAAATTCTCACCACCCTGCTCTGCCATTTATATGCCCAACACTTTGCCCCGACCCTTGACATAGACGCCAACCGCTATACTATAACTTACGTTACTACTTGTAGTTATAGGGACAGAATACTTTTCGATTTCTTTTTAATTGTTTTCAGTTTTTTCATTTCTAACTTTCCACTATTAAAATTAATATTTTTCAAAAATTGGGAAGTTATGTTAGGAAAAAAAAAAAATTTTTTTTTTCAAAAACCATGACTGGTTTTTGTGAGTAATTTATTTTAGTTTTTAAAGACAATTGATTGTTATCTATTTCGTTTAGATTTGTAAAAATTTTGTTCATTTGGAATCTCCCACATGACAATGTCGACGTAGATAGTAATTGGGAAATTTTCCAATTATTAAGATAAGTAACTTTTATGTTAGGAATTTAAAAAAATAAAAATCAATAGTAATTACTTTTTTAGATAATTGGACTGACATAAAACTAAAAATCGGTAATTTTTATCAAAATAAAAATCCCGATGCCATAATCTTCTATTTTTTACAATTTAAAAATTCCGTCCACTTAAAATTATCCACCTCGAAGTAAAAAATTTGAGTATATATACCGTCAGTTGTTTAATTCCAATATAAAATTATCGTCGACGGACTAATGTAAGTACTAGATTTTTGTTAATTTATTACATATCTATATTAAATTGTTCCTGCTTAACAATCATCAATTTTTTTTTTATTTTTCATGCGGATAAACTTTATCGAAAGTTACAATGAAGACTGCCGATCACTTGTTTCTCCTATGTGTTCTCTTTGGAGCCTCTTTATTAGGAGGGTTTTCGTCACCAGACACCGAAACTGAGCTCAACAATAACTCAGAAGTCGTCACAAATATGAATGGTGAAAAAATCTTTTTTATTATCTGTTTTGATTTGATTTTAAATACACTTGAATTTTGAAAATGAATTCACAAAAAACTCAATCAAATATTGACAATAATAATATTAATAAAATTATTTATTACAATTTTTTATGATGTTTAAACAGCAATTAAAAAAATGATAGAGACATCGATTGACGTTTCCAACATGTGTGATGTCTTAGGGATTTGTTACGATGTAAAGTTCGTATCTACACTTGCTAAAAAAAAGGACGATAATAGAACAAAGATTGAATTGAATTTAAAGGCAGCGGCAATATCTCATAATGTAATTATATTAAAGGATAAAAGATTTATTTATTAACTTTTATAATAATTTTATTAACTTTGATTCTTAGTGTTCGGGGTTCTATTACAACAACAAATGCTACAGCTTCCCAGGTGGTACTTGTTGAGTTTCAGAGGACTGCTTATCAACATCGTACCCATGCCAATCAGGGACTTGTAAAAGCGCAGTCTATATTAAAAACGGAGAAATTTTATCATCAAAACCCGGAGTTACTGCCAAGTTTATTCAAGACAAAAATGCAACAAAAAAAGATCAGGGATTTTTGTCTGGAAATGACTGGGGCGCACCATTGTACGTCTGTCGGATTTCACTTCTTGACTGCGTACTGCCGGGAAAACTTATTGCCCATAAAAAATGGAATGATTGCCATGTTCCAGTAGAAGAATCTGAGGTTACTCGATTATCCTACGAGGTACGTAAAGATAAACACTGACCTATTAATCAAAATTCTAATAATTTTGTACTACAGCTGCTGGTAGGATCTAACTTGGAATGGAAAAGCTCTGTCTACCATCCTGACAAAGCTATTTACAGAGGTCATCAAGACAATGGGTTACCCTACTTGATTTGCCGAGTTAATCACATCAGTGTATCAATTGGAAAAGTTGAACCTCCCTATTACAATAAGTGCTCCTTTTCTTATGGTTTCAGAGTCCATACTAAGACCCAGTTTGAGATTTTAGTTCAGAATTGATTGTTACTTGCGTGTTGATAATTTAAATGTTTATTAATAAGTAATAAAAAAAAAATAATTCAGAGAACTAAAAACGAATAGTAATTTGTAAAAAGTGATCCAATAAATAACTTTTGAAATTAAAATCTTTATTGAATAAATAAAATAGATTCAAAATTTGGAATATCAGAAACATAGTATTTATAGTAAAATAAAATTTCCCAGGTGGGTAAAACTTCCAAAGAGTTTCAAGCCTTGTACCCTACATTCATCCCTCGCGTCCCTTGATCCGCCTCCATGCTAAATCCCTAATGTCCGAATTGCTAGTCACCAAATTATTCATTTCTCAAACCCTCCGAATGTTGAATAAGCTTCAATCTGATACAATCATACTTATCGTATTTTGAGTTTAGTCTTTAGAGAAACTCTTGAAATTGATGATTTTTGGTGATATAAATATATGTGTATTCACTTGCTGACTTCTATCAAAGATCCAGCGAAGTTTCTGGGAGATGGTAGCGTAAAACTGATATCAAAGATATGCCTGGATCCAGTATTCACTATCGAGCACAGAGAATTGAGGATTGAGTATTATCCATAGATCTGCAGAGAGTAGAGCAGAGTTACGGTAACTTATCGCAGAGATCACAAATACAAACCGATCGGAGATCTCGAGTTGCGATTCATAATCCCCTAGGGCCAGAGGTCACGCTTCGTCCGGCCTCCACGCTCGGTGGCATAATAAATCGTTTCGTGGAACAGAATCGTCCGGAAACAACTTTTGTATACGTGTATAAATATTGTAGGCATATAGCCATCCAGGTATATGCAACATACATGACATACAGTTCTCTCTATTCGCTATTCTCTACTCTATATTCAGTATTTTATATGGATGTACACAGAAAGAGAATACGATCGATAATCGAAACGACTAGGACGTCGTCGTACATGTTGTGCACCCAAAGTCAGCTTCTATTGCCCGGGTTTTCAGTCGTTTCGCGGCCTAGCTTTCATGTGTACTTTTATTAAACATATTGTGTATACACTCGGGTACGAGAGAGCTTGTCGTCGACGTTTTACCTTCAGTTATTTATTTTCCTCGATAGCGAAAGCATATTGTTCTCCTGCTGTTTTAAATACTAATATGATGCATACGTTTTCATCAATAGCTCAATGATCGATTTTAATGTTTGGCTTAAACTCAACTTTAAACTTTTTCTGTCTGGTATTTTGGATTTAAATTGAAATTACTTTTTAAATTATACCGGAGATTTTATTTAGCATTGCGTGCAGTGGTATTAAAGAATAAAAAAAATCCAGTCGGTCACAGTCGTAAACAATCGAGTATCAGGTGTAAGGAAGGCGAAGGATCCGATCTTGTTCCTCGAACCGCCTCGAGAAGAAAAGTATTTTTTGATTAGCCTAAGCGGGCCACATATCATACTTACCTTCGCCTGGAGCCCAAAAAATAATCCGGTCATAAAAATAAAGACCCGTGCTCAAGACTCGAGACCGATTGAAATTCAACAAAAAGTAAAAATCGATGAAAAAATTTCAACAAAAATAAAATAAAAAAGATACGGGTTTAACGATGAATGATACGTACGTTACAAATCACTAAAGTTATTTATCGGGTGGA